GTAATATACCTCTCTAAAAAAGAATGTTTATATTAAAAATACATGGGACAAAATGCATATATTAGGGTAACAGAAAGGAAGCATTAGAAAAGGAAAAGTCTAAGAGATACGTGCCTAAAATTATATATAAAGATTATAGAAAAACGTAGAAGGAACTAATAACTAGAGAAAATGAAACATTCTAAAAATTTGATAAGTACACATATTTTGTGCTTTATCTATATAATATGATTATTATCTCCTTATACTCTGGTGAATATAGCAGATAAGGAAGATCTTTGCCTAAATCTCTTCCAAAGATCCTGTTTTCCAGGGCTTAAAAAATGCTTCAGCTCCCTTTGCCTACAGTACAGTACTTATCATTCCACTCCTTAACGATGCCAGCCCAATGAGATGATTTCTACAAATACTTTGTTTTAAGCATAAACATCTGCAGAACAAAAATATCCATATATACAAAAATGCCTATTCATCAATTTCCATTGGAACTTTGCTTGATCAATTGATCTTATAATACAGAAAAGTTGGTGTAATTAAGAGTAATGTTGGCAGCAGGTAGGATAGGCCAGAGTACTGCACAGTTAGTACTTCAAAATTAAAACATCTATTTATATCAAGCATAAAGATATTCACAATTCTAACAGATCACAAGCAAGACAGAGAAAGGACTGGGAATCTGAACCTTGCTAAATACAATGTTCTGAACCTTGCTAAATACAATGTTTTCATCTATATTAAAAAGGATGTCCATTATCCCCATTGTTATTTGTTTTAACATTGGAAATTTTATTGATTCAGATTCAGGAATCAAAGTTAATTAAGGGTGTAAAGATAAGGAAGAATGAGTATAAATTGCGGGCATTTGCGGATGATTTGGTTTTAATTTTGGAACAACCGAATCAGGTGATTGATGGTTTATTAGAACTTATAATACAGTATGGGAATGTTTCTGGTTTTAAAGTTAATAATTATAAGACTAAGATATTATCTAAGAATATGTCAGTTAAAGATAGGGAAAGTTTGATTAAAGCCACAGGTTTTCAGATGGTAAAAAAGGTTAAATATTTGGGAGTATATCTAACTGCTTCAAATGGAAAATTGTATAAGAACAATTACGAACCACTATGGGCAAAAGTCCAAAAGGATTTAAGAGATTGGAAAAAATTGCAATTGTCATTGTTGGGGAGAATTTCAGCTGTAAAAATGAATGTTCTACCAAAGTTTCTTTTTTTGTTTCAGATGATACCTATTCTTAAAAAAGAGGCAAATTTGGAGGAATGGCAAAAGGGTATCAATAATTTTATATGGGCCGGGAAGAAACCAAGGGTTAAATTTAAGATATTACAGGATGCTCGAGAAAGAGGGGGACTTAAGGCACCTAATTTGAAATTATATTATGATGCAGCCGCCCTAACTTGGTTAAGTGATTGGCTTAATTTAACAAATATGGATATTCTTTTTTTGGAAGGTTGGGATTTAATATATGGTTGGCATGCATATTTAATTTTTAATAAGAAAGTTGATCGGACTTTTAAATCACATATTTTGAGGAATGCTTTACTTCGTGTTTGGAAGAAGTATTATTATAGATTAAATTATAAAATACCTATCTGGGGGATTCCCAGACATGCAATTGAGGGAACTTCTAAGGGGACAAATTTTGATAAAATCTCGTATAAAGAATTGTTAATTTGCTCTGGTTCGAATTGGTATTTGAAATCCCTAGATGTATTAAGGCAGCAAAATATTCTACAGTCATGGTTTCAATATTTACAAATAATGGATAGATGGACTGTAGACAAGAAAGAGGGAATAACACTAAAAGATAGACAATTGGTTATTCAGATTAAAAACCAAAGTCCGGCTCATATAAAAAGAATATACAATGTTTTACTAGAGTTAGATTCGGAAACAGAATTGGTTAAAGACTGTATGATTAAATAGGCTCAGAATATACAGGAGCCGATCTCATTGGATTTATGGGAGACAATTGGATAAGAAATGTTAAATTTACACAAGCTCAAAATTTGAGAGAAAATGTTTATAAAATGTTTTATAGATGGCACTTAGATCCTAAAAAATTATCTTGTATGTATTCCAATATACAGCCCAAATGTTGGAGATGTGGCAACAATGATGCAACATACTTTCATATTTGGTGGAATTGTAAAAAAGTAAAGGCTTTTTGGATTATGATTTGGTGGAACATTCAAAAGATTTTTAGAAAAAAGATAAAGTTTACTCCTCAACTATTTTTACTTGGTATTTTTGTTGACTTAAATGAAAAAGAAACTACTTTGATGTTGAATTTATTAACTGCAGCAAGGTTACTAGTAGGTTTATATTGGAAGAAAGATTCCTTGCCTACTTTAGAAGAATGGATATTTAAAGTATCTAGTTTTGCAGAAATGGCAAAAATTTCTGCTTATTTAAAGGATCATACACAAGAAAGATATATTATTGTATGGGGAAGGTGGATAGATTATATTCAGAAAAAGTATGGAATTAAAAAGTTTCATTTATTTTATGAATGAATATTAAATATTATAGAGAATTGTTTTATAGGTTATGGAGTTAAAGGTTAATTATGATATTTTTTTTCTTTTCCTTTCTTTTTTTTCTTTTTTTCTTTTTTCTTAATTATTATATATATATTTTTTTTATTAACCCTGTATTCTGCTCTGGGAAGTGAAGGGAGGGGGGTTGGGGGTGGGAGGGAGGGTAAGGGTTTTTTTTTCTACTTTAAAATTTTATTGTATTTTTATAAATGATTGTATGTTTTAAAAAAATAAAAAAAAATTCTCAAAAAAAAAAAGGATATTATTTTGTAGGTATAAATTATAACTACAGATAGTTCTTGAGTTCCAACCATTCATTCAGCGACTATTAGAAGTTATGGCAGCATTAAATAAATGGGACTTTTGTTATTTGCCCAAAATTACAGATTTTGTAATACTCCTGTAGTGGTGTGATCAAAATTCAGGTGCTTGACAGCTCGCCAACCCTTACAACTACAGGGGCACTTCAACAACCCCCCCACCTGATCTCTGCCCTGATCTCTGCCTTTTTGATTGAGCAGCACTTCTCGCCATCCTGGGGCTGGCCTGGGGCCTTCAGCAGTCTCAGCTGGTCACCACCTCTCCCAGGTTTCTTTTTTAGTCTAGCATCACTGCTGAAGAGTGCCACCTCAAGACTGTGCAAAGCAAAGCCCTTGCCGTCCTATGCTCTACTCTCCCTGCCAATCTGCCAGCCTGCTGCTGACGTTCCACTTGTCCTACCACCCTGATGGTTTCCGGTCCTGCGCTCTGCTTGCCTTGTTGGCCTTGCCGCCTCCAGCTGATCTTTACCATCTTCCTCCTGCTGCTGATGAGGTGCAACCAGCCTGGCCCTATGTGAGGCCACTGCTCACTGTGCCAGGCCTTCTTCCTGAGGCCACTTCCCGAGGCCACATTGTTTTTCAAATTGCACAGAACATTCTCACAGTGCTTCAGGAGACATCAGAGGTTTTCCAAGCACAGAGCCATCAGAGTGGCAGGGCCGGTGAGCACCAGGCAGCCAAAAGGCAGAGGGGGAGGGAAAGGTAGTTAGGGGAGCTGAAGAGAAGGCATTCCCTTATCTTGCTGAGGTTCATGGCCAGGAGACACCAGGCTGGGAGTGGCCTGGATCAGGGTGTTTCCTAACCTAAAATCCGGTAGGATTCAGTTAGCTATGGCAATGGTGAGTGCTGGGATTGCCATTGCTAAGTGATGCATTCATGTAACCACATAACATTTCAGTCCCAATTACCATTATAACTCAAGGACTACCTGTATGCTTATAGATGCTTTATATAAATGAATAGATACAGTAAGAATACATCTACAAATATAGTTACATTGAAGTTGCAAGAACATTATACTGAAATCATTAAATACATCTTTTACCGTACAAAATATTTAGTATTTATAGATATAACAATATATTTTGGGGGAATGGACAAGCTGAAATAGTTATACATCTGGCTATTCTCCAAGCAATTTTGCATTGTCCTTAGTACGATCTGTTTCAAACCACTGCTCTCTAATCCACAAACCACTATGTTATATAATGTTACTATATAATAGAAATCAGGACACAAGTCAACCACTTCCTTTGAATGTATAATAAATAATAAGTGAAAGCCAGACTTAGTTGTGCTTATTGTAGATGAAATGCTGATCGACTGAAACCTCTAAGAGGGATACATTTTGAGTTATTCATTTACATGAACTGAGCCACATGAAGGATGCAACAGAGAGATTAATGCACCATAACTGCATTCTGACACTTCAAAGATGAATATTGCTATTTAAAACTCTGTTTCAGATTGTTATATAACTTTGCACATCAAGTAGGGAAAACCTCAGTCACGCTTATTCCAATGTTCAAGCAACAGTGTCTCACAGAGAACTTTTTCAATTAAACTGTTTCTCACAGTTACTTTGATTATCTAATTCATAGACCATTTTGTAACATTGAATTTATACATTATATTATTTGCTTTGGTGTTGTATTTGAAAATTAAATATTAATGTTAAAAAACAATAAGTTTTTTAAAAAATAAACCAACAACTTTAATATTTAGAAAAAGTTAAATATTAATCTAAGCAGAAGTTAAGAATAAAAGAGATGAAAATGGATTATTTATAAATATCTTTTTTTGCTTTCATTTGTAAGCTTCTTTGTTTTTGTGTATAAACATTTTTGCTTCAAAATGTGCTGCAAACATTCCTACAAAGCAATCATTATAGCAATGCATTCCATCTAATGGTGATGAATAGAGAACATTTCTCCCTTTTCTAAATTTAGACCTTTAAATTTGCATTTAGCCCCAATACTGTGGTAGTGTTAAAAAAAGGCTGAGCAATCATTTTCATAAATCATAAACATTCTGAACTACATTACACTTCACCTAAAAATGTAGATTATAAGCTTAAAGTTCACGCACAACAAAAGAATGGAAACTGGAATTTTAATCCTACCAGTTTGGCTGAGTTGTGAGGTGCTCCTGCTTTTCCGTGAAAGCCCCACGATAGCTACCATTTTTGCACCAATACTGGATCGCCGTTTTTTTCCACCTGCTCCCACAGTGCCCACCGCTGTATCAGACTGGCTGCCATCGTTCTTCTCTAGTGTATACATATCGCCACTGATGCTGGTGCTTTTAGTTATGTTCTGTCCTGAAGCGCCAATCTGTCTGCTTTGCATTTTAGATGTGAAAACACTGTCAGCCAAGACGATGGATAGACAATGCCATAAAAGAAAAAATAAAGACAGTAAAGGAAAGTTTCAGACCGAAGGTTTGGGATGACTATTGAGAGAAACAATTAATTTACACAGAAATTGGTTTGTCACCGAAGTTGAAAAGATCAAATTTCTTTGTAGTTGATTGTACAATAGTTATTGTTTTGTCTCGTCACAAAACTTATTTGTAAATTTTACCGAAACGCTATGGCATTGCTATTATGGTACGCTAAACAGTAATCTTACAACCATATAAGAAATACATTGTGTATGTTTTTATAATTTATTATTCTTATATATGAATATCAGTTAGCCACTGATGGCATACAGATAGTCTTTGCCTTATGATCAATCATTCAGTGACAATTCAAAGTTACAACGGTGCTGAATAAAGGGATGTTGTGAAGTTCTGGCTGTTGCAATGTGCCTGCAGTCATGTGGTCAAAATTTGGGCACTTGGCAGCCCTTTTGCACTTACAACCTCAGCGGCACTGCAGCTCCCCCATCTACCTATTTGCCCCCATCAGTGCCCTTTTGGCCCCCTGACATCCAGCCATCTTGTTGCCATCTTCTTGCTCTGGCTGCTAATGAGGCATGCCCAGTCTAGCTGCTTAACTGTATGAGGCTGGTTCTGCCTAGGGATAAAGCACATAGCAATCGTACTCCTGCAAATGGGGATTTCTTTGCAAAGATTTCCTGGATAGGGCTGGGGTTGCTTTGTGCTGTGAAAAAGGGGGGATAGGCTGCTTTTGGCTTTCACCCCCTCTCCTCTTTTAGACTGCAAAGGCAGCCCCATACGGTGCAGGAGCAAGTGCAAAATGGCATTTTGGTGCACTGCAGCACTTTTAAACTATTTTGTACTTTATTTCTTTTTCACTGCATGAAGCCAGTTCCACATGAGCTGGCACTCAGTCCAGGCAAGCCTCATAAGGGGCAGGAGCATGAAGATGACAGTGTAGGTCAGCTCACGGTGTGGAGCACAGGGCAGCAATTGGAAGTGGGGTGTGACAAACAGTCACAGAGCCACACAGTGCAAGAGAAGCCAAAAAGGCAGAAGAGGAAAGAGGAAGGTGGGTGAAGGGAGTTAGAGGAGCTAGGAGGGACCAACCTGTCCAATCAGTCATTCTTGTTTAATGGCAAGATTCTTGTTCAATGCTAAGGAAACATGCTAAGGAAAATATTGTTGTACAAGACAAATAAAATAAGTATATTATCCATGAAAGTAATTTTTAACATTATATGTGTATTCAGTCACATATGCATCCTAATCTATAGTCTAAACTATAGATGCATCCTTCATGCATCCTAATCTATAGTCTAAACTGCTGCTTATTCTACTTATTCTTATAAATAGTTGAATAACTACATGTTATTTTTATTATATTTATCTTGGCACTTCTCAGCGAACCAGCCCTGATAAAATATTTCATTATTTTGCTCAAATAACTGTAATCCAGGCCCTTGGAGATGAAGATTCAATGAAGAATTGGCAAAAATTCAATTTGGCAACAAAAAAACTCTTTTATTAATAACTAAGCTTTCGTCAAACCACTGTTGACATTGTCAAAATGTGAGCTAGTATCAGGAGGCGCTCGTTCTTATAGTTGGTTAGATGTTAACGATCTAGTCATTGAGCGCGTCACAGGTCTACCCGCCTCTCGCTCTCCCATAGTTAACTGTATTGATTCTGGTTCCGCTGCGCTGTGTTGGTCAGATAGCCAGGCCTCACCAACACTCTATTAATCGGCACGTGGAATTACTACCAGCATATCAAGCGCTGAAACAACATGAACAGTCGCGCAGAGAATCAGAGCGAACGAACTGTCGACCACCTCCTTTCCTGGTGAGTAGGAGGATAAAAGATCTGGGTCCCTTACCTATGGAATGGCAGGGTGTCACAGCGAGTGGAGATATGGAAGTATGAACAGGACCCATCACAAGATCAAGGGGAAGACAGCAGACCGTGACTGGTGCAATGCACATGGTGGGAGGACTAACAACTGGTGCGGCTGCATGGCATGCTGACGGCATGGCCGGGTGGGACAGCAGGAGTAGTGCTCCGGCAACAACACCAGATAGCTGCACGCTGCAGGATGGACATGACCAGCAGGCAGGGTGGGCGGGAGAAGGGAAAACGGCAAAACCGAAGTGGATGCCGACCAGTGCAGCGGAACCAGGATCAATACAGTTAATTATGGGAGACTGAGGGACGGGCAGGCCTTGATGCACTCGATGACTAGATCGTTAACATCTAACCAGCTATAAGAACGAACACCTCCAGATACTAGCTCACACTTTGACAACATCAACAATGGTTTGACAAAAGCTTAATTATTAATAAAAAAAATTGTTCCAGAGATCAGTGGTTTTAGCAGATTTTAAATGAGTATACCTGGGACTCAAGTTTTTAGAACAATTAAGGATGTCATAAACACAAATGTTTAATCTATAAAACCAAGCTTTCATTGGCCACACTACCGACATCGTCAGGGTATAAAATGCTGGATCCGGGAGTCCATTTTTATGTGGCTGGCTGCCTCTGTGCTTTGACCCTGGATCGTGTGATTGGTCCGCTCATTAGCATTGGCTGTGTAGTTCTTAAAGGAGGCATACATGTACAGAGGGGGCAATAAGGGTAACAAGTAGTGGAGCCATTCCAAAGACACACCCGGATGGCAACCCATTAACACACACAGAAGCTCACCCATTAGCAAGAGAGAGAAGGGGGGATAAGAAACAGGAACGAGATGACCAACCCCCAGAAGTTTTCACACGGGCAAGGAAAGCAATAGAAGAAATAGAAGAACGGAGCTTGAAGCACACATGCTAGACAGCGCAGCAATACGGAGGCAAACTAAGACAAATGAGGGAGTGGGGAGAGACGACTGGGAGCGGATAAACAGCGGATCTCTAGGCACCCGCACATGCACAAAGAAAACAACAGCAATTGGAGAGGGGAGGACAACTTTAGAAATGGCTCCTTTAAGAACTACACAGCCGATGCTAATGAGCGGACCAATGACATGATCCAGGGTCAAAGCGCAGAGGCAGCCAGCCACATAAAAACGGGCTCCCGGATCCAGCATTTTATACCTGACGATGTTGGTAGTGTGGCCGACGAAAGCTTGGTTTTGTAGATTAAACATTTTATGATTTCATCTTGGTGATCGCCTTATTTTATTTCACATTATGTGTATACCTGGGATTATATATATATATATATATATGTAGGTCTTTGGTTGTTCGGGTTTTCTCCCACGTAAAATTGGAAGTGTCTTGGCAACGTTTCGACGAAGTCACATTCGTCATCTTCAGGCTGGTGTTTTTAGCTTCTTGCTTTGAGCAGCAATGTGTGGTTTTAGCTGTTTCTTCCTTTTAACTGGCTGAATCCCACCACTGCCCTATTCTAAATCTATTATCAGAGTCATTGTTTTTTAGTCATTGTTATATATAACAATATATATTAGGTTTTTACTCCCATCATACTTGCTAATTACAGAAATCTTTTCCGCAAGCTTTCAATTTATTTAATAACATTAATCAGCAGTATATCATGTTACCTAAGTTTGTATTATGATTTTGTTTATTTCATGTATTTTTGATGGTTTGTTGCCTTAAAATTAAAACATAAAGAAAATAGTTTTTAAAATTTTTATGACATTTTTATGCTCCAATTTCATTGAATGAACTGATTTTTTATGTTCAATTTAGCTTAATATACAGTATTTCTCTTATAGAAAGCTTCAATTTGTGTGTGTGTGTAATCTAACATTATAAATATAACTGGGCTACATAAATATCCACAATAACAATTCTGAATGACAATGAATTAAATATTATTTGTTTCCATTATAGGTTGAGGTATTAAGGAAATCAAATTTTTAACTTTGTTTTGCACTCTTAAATACACTAAGTATGCTTATCTACAATAGAATTCAAACTATTCATTTTGAAATAGCTCTAGTGCACTTGTGCATATTCATATTAGCACATTTTTCAGATCACTCTTATCTTTACGTTTTCTCCTTGTACGTAAAGGCCTATTGGAGATAATCAAAATATTAACCAATCTGTTAGATATAGATTCTGCCTTTCTTGCAGGAGGTCAAAGCAGCTTACACAGCCTACTCTTGTTTTTCCCACAAAAGTAAATTAAAATTGAATTAATAATGCAACATAACCTAACTTATAATTTGCATATATATATATACTGTATGTGTGTGTGTGTGTGTGTGTGTGTGTGTATACACAGTATATTCCGGCGTATAAGATGACTTTTGAGAGCGTCAAAACAGCCTCCGAACTCAGGGGTCGTTTTATACGCTGAGTCGTCTTATACGCCGGAAATAAGGTAGTTTCTGGCGTATAAGACGACTTTCTAGGCATGAGACTTGGCATCGATTGTCTTATACGCCGGAAATAAGGTAGTTTCCGGCGTATAAGATGACTTTCTAGGCATGCGACTCGGTGTTGATCGTCTTATACGCCGGAAATACCAGTAGTTTCCGGCGTATAAGACGACTTTCTAGGCATCGACTTGGCGTTGATCGTCTTATAGCTGAAAATACCGGTAGTTTCTGGCGTATAAGACGACTTTCTAGGCATGCGACTTGGCATTGATTGTCTTATACGCCGGAAATAACGTAGTTTCCGGTGTATAAGACAACTTTCTAGGCATGCGACTTGGCGTTGATCGTCTTATATGCCGGAAATACTGATAGTTTCCGGTGTATAAGATGACTTTCTAGGCATGCGACTCGGCGTCGATGGTCTTGTGACCCGGCGTCGAACTAGGGGGTCGTCTTATACGCCGGAATATACGGTATATGTTTATATATATATATATATATATATATATATATATATATATATATATATATAGTCTTTGGTTGTTCGGGTTTTCTCCCGCGTAAAATTGGAAGTGTCTTGGCAACGTTTCGACGAAGTCACATTCGTCATCTTCAGGCTGGTGTTTTTAGC